AAAAATCAGCCTCTTTGTCTCAGTTCAGGTGCCCCCCATCGCTTGTCACTCCTGAAAAATCTTAACCTGAGACATGGAGCCAATGAAGTGCTCCTGCTGAAATGCTGGTAGCAACAATGGGGAACTAAGGAATGCTTCTGTGCATCCAGTTCACTGCTGTTCAGCCAGTCAAAACCAGTGCCTTTTTGTGTCCTTTGCAAACCACACTACTCCTATTTCCAGAACAGGATGGGGGCTGCAGGGCGGACATGACCTCTGTTCTACAGCCCCTCCTCCAGTTGCTCCCGGAAGGACGTAGCTTTAACCTGGCTATGCTCTTGCTAATCCTGCTTCCGCCACTGAAGCAGACTCCAGCAGCCAGTTCAGCCTCTGGGCCTGGCTCTGAACTGATGTCTCCAGCCTCGGTGCTGATGACTCCGGCATCTCTTGTAAACAAACTCCCCACAGATCTAGAATGTCTTGTGTAACTGACACGGGAGTCACAAGCGGCTACGGCAGAGCTATTGTGGGTCTGGGCTATTGCTACGCTAAGAAATGTACGTGAGTAATGCTGGTTAGCGCTTCCTGGGTTTCCCCATGTGCCTTTGGATCCTGCTGGAGAAAAGCCGTATCTGATCTGATGCAGTAATGTGGTGCGCTTGTATTGATATTGAACAGGGTAAAATGCTTTCTCCGACTGGATCAGTGAGAGGATTATCTGAGCTTACACAGACAATCGCCTGAGACCAGACTTAACCGCTTGATTAACCTTGTGCGTTAACTTTCCGTGCGAGGTTGTGAAATGATCCAGCGATACTAAATGCACAACTGCTGGCGTAACACTGTCTGTGATACCGACCTACAGCTGGGCAGGACGTGGGAGTAAATCTGTTCACTAACCCCCCTTCTTGCCCCTTCTCCCATCAAAGTCAGGGCTGGAACTCGCATTGATGCGGGAGGGAGGAGGCTGGATTGGTCCTTGGTAAATAACTTCTTTCCCCTACTGCGCCAAGCTAGCAACTTGCTTTTTCTCTCTGCTAATGCTAGGCCAGTCCTGCCGTCTGTCTCAGCTTCATGGCTTTAAACCCAGCTAGGCCAGTGGCTTTTATTTCACTAGGACTATAAATGCTTTTCCGTGTGGGTGTGCACAGTGGGTGGGTGGGGGGGTGGAAACGTCTTTGTACTCATGACGTATTGTTAACATTGGTTAGGATCTTCCTAATGTGTAAATTTCCTTTTAAAATGTGGTCACTTGATTTGCTGACGGAGCTCCTTTTGTTTCAAAAACAAAACTGCCACAGATTCTTTTTGTCTGGGCCCTGCCTGTTTCCTCTGTGTGAAGAACTGTGTAGTGGTAGCTATGATGCTATGCGATCATAATGACTAGAATAAAAAAAAACAATCCAAAACAAGAGTGGCCCAGCTTTTGTGCTTGATGAGAAGGAGCTACAGGTGAGGAGAGAGGACCAGTAAGTGTCTGACCAGGGGATCACTTGGTTTGACTCAGTCCATGATTCTGCTGCCAACTGCCCCACAAGTTGGTGGACTCTTACAGTTTCAGGGCAACTGCACCTGTATTCCCTCTCTGTGATCCACCAAGGGCCCCCACTTACAGCTTCCAGGCACCCACCTTTCACCTCCCTTGGCTCTCTCCCTTCTGACAGGCTTTTTTCCAGGCTGTACAGTTCCCTGCCTACGCTGTGATATCCCCAGACTGCCTAGACAGCCTGGCATTTGTGCTTTGCTTTCTCTCCAGCTGTTATGAACATTGTAGTTACCGGCAGTTACAAGTTATCACACAGCTCTTTCTAAGCAAGCATGTTTATTCTTAAGGTGAAAGCATTACAGAGAAAACACATTAAAAACAATAAAAGAACCTGCACACATGCTAAAAAGCTTACCAGAAATCAGCCCCGCCTCCAACCTCTGACGGTGGTAGGCGGCAGTCCTCCAAAACCCACACCTGACTTTTCCCATGCTTACAAATTCATAACTCAATTCAGAAGCAGACCCTAGGCTGGGCAGTTGAGCTGTTGGTTTATGCCCCTGGGCCCTTTGATCTCTTCTCCACGGACAGGTGATCAGCAGACAACGGCCCACTTCTCAGGGCGCAGCTGCAAAAGGCTGGGTTTTTTGCGTAACTGGAAGTGGGGAATTTTCACTCACTCTCCCCTCCGGCTTCCCTGGGAAATCCACTTCATGCTTTTTGTTTCAGAACTCCACTCCTGCCTGGCACAATTTTAATATAGTTCTCTGACACCGGCCCCCTGGCCTCACATCCCACCTCCCCTCCGTCCCTGCAATCCGGCCCACAATAATGCATCAATTTTGCATGTAGTACAATGTGGGCAGATCTACACTTAAAACACTGCATCGGTGCAGCTGTAGCACTTAAGTGAAGATGCTCCTAAGCTGCTGGGAGAGAGCTCTCCTGTCGGCGTAGATAATCCACCCCCGTGAGAGGCGGTAGCTATGGTGACGGGAGAAGCTCTCCCGCTGACACAGCGCTGTCTACAAGAGGGGGTTAAGGTGAGCATAACTACATCGCTCAGGGGTGGATTTTCACACCTCTGCGCGATGTAGTTACGCTAGCCCGGGTCTCTCGCATAGACCTGGCCTCAGGTTTTTCAAGGATATTGCAGGGACTCGCCAGATCTGTCCCAGACTCGGTCTCAACCACAGCGTCCAGAGCTGGGGAGAGCAAAAGAAACTTGTTCTGGTCCATCCTCGGCCGTCATGTTAAGCCATCACCAATCCTGTTGTTAATCATAGGAATTATCACATAGCCCAGGGGCTGCTTGACAGCACCCGGCGTTAGATACTGCAGAGGAAGGTGAAAGAACCCCGCATTGTGTGATCCTCTGCCCCACCTTGGGTTTCATCCTGGTCGCTATTAGAGATGGGTCTAAGCCCTGAAGCAGGAAGTTTAAAATCCCTTCCAGAATGTGTTAACCAGTTACAATGCTGCATATAATCGCCACTTAGCCTCACCCACCAATGCTGGCCAGGTAACTCTCTGTTTCCTTAGCCGCTCACACAGTGCGCTCTACTGTATTTTTCTATTGCCCTCCCCCCGCTGCCCCCAACCTTCCCTTGAGGCTGCTGGCTGTAACCCTGAGCCTTGGAACCAGCCTGTGTCTTTCTGCTGGGCCTCTGTAGCGAGAGGTGGGGCATCGGGTCTCTGACACTGATAAAAATCCAATGTGCGGTTTCTGGACTGATCGCCCGGGAGAGCAGCCTCTCCTCCGTCCCTTGAGTGTTGCAATTGCACAGCCCAGGCCAGGACTTGTCCTGTAGAACAGGGATCAGCCAAACCCCAGGCCAAAGCAAAGTGATGCTCGTGGACAAGTCTATTAGGTTTGTTCCTGGACCTAGTCTATAGGGTCTTTATGTTGCAAATGAAGAAGGGGGCAGGTTCTCCCTTAAGGTACCTATCTGGCCCCTTTCACCTAGTATTTGAGCACCTCAAAATCTTTCATGTAGCTAGGAAGGGGCTATCTCCCTTGCACAGATGGGGAAACTGAGGCACACAGCAGCTAAGTGACTTCCCTGGCACCACACAGGGAGCGCGGGGGGTAGAGCAGGGACTTAAACCCAGCTCCCACGCGTCCCAGGCTGATGCTCTAACCCGCGGGCCATCCTTCTGCTTTACCCAGCCTGTTGTAAATGGGTACAGTTCTAAGAGTGCCCTCCAGCCCCAGGTGTTCCAGAGCGCTGACAGCCTGATAGCTTTGTTCTGTGTCTGTACAGGGCCTGGCACAGTGGGGTCCTGGTTGACTCAGTTTCCCAGGTGCTACCGTAATATACCTAATAGAAATAAAAAAATGTACAGCGATGGCACTATGGGGTCTTGTTCCATGATTGGGGTGCCTAGGTGCTATCGTAATATACCTAATAGCACTAAAAATGTACAGCACCTGACATGCCTGCTCCGTGACTAGAGTTCCTAGGTGCTACCCAAAATAGGCTAATAGCAGAGCATGCTCACACCACCTCCACTGTGGCCAATGGCAATACAGAGGTGGAATGGACAAACCACGGTCTCGTCTATACAGGTGCCTCTAGGCTAAAACATCAAAGGACTGATGCAGTACTGCGCAACTGGCTGCCTCGGCGATAGCCCTGATCTGAGGACACCGTGGAGACTCGACTCATTGCATCCACAGGAGGGCCTGGTCAGAGCAAGAACTGTCATGGGAGATTTTCAGAGGCACGGTGGTGGTTACCTACCTAACTCCCATTGACGTTCCACGGGAATTAGGCACCTAACTTTGTACCTTTGACAATCGCGGGACAGCTCAGTCCACATAAAACTCACCTGCAGCCTGCTTTATGAATCTGTGCCGAATGACAGTGCTTAAAACACAGGCAACAGGGCTTTGGCGTGCTCCCTCCAGCATGCCTGCTGTGGCGAAAGCTTATACGCAAATCAACTAAATACAGCAGATGCAAATAATCCATTTAGCCAATGCAAGTGTAGAACACAGTTTGAACAGATGCAGCGATTCATAGATTTCAAGGCCAGATGGGACCCCTGGGATCACCTAGTCTGACCTGTGCAGCACATGCAAGCGCCCTTCTCTCTTTCAGCGTTTGTTTAAAATTTCCCAGGAATGTATCAGGGTTTATTACAAAACAATGGGTGAAAATCAGGGCGAAAAATTAAGGGCAGGGATTTCTGGGTCGATATTGGATTTAATGGCGGGAGATGGGGGGACAGAAGACAGCAACAGAGAGGGGGAAGGTGGCAGTATTGACAATGAAGGCAGTTTAGTGCGGTGGTTTGGTTAATAAGCTGCACATTAGCAGTGTGAACATCGACGCAGGCGTGTCTGCATCTCCCACGACCTTGCTTTGACGGACATGGATTGACACAATCCCAGCTGATGAGCGACTTGCACTATCTTCCCCCCCACCACCACCACCACGTGGTGGGAAGCACATGGTCTTCGAAGGGAGGAGCTTCCTTTTCTCTGTGCCCGCCCCCCAGCGCCCTCCAGCCAATGGGAAGCGAGGGCTAAGGTGGCTGGTGTCTCAACGTTCTGAGCCGGCTGGGGAACAGCTGCTGGGGTGGCCGCCGCTGCGGGCCTGGGAGGCTCCGAGCAGGTAGGTGGGGGGGGGGGGAGGCTGTGTGTGTGTGTGTGTGTGGTGCTGGCCCAGCGGCGGTGCAGGGGGGTCCGGGCACGCACGGGGTTATCAGACCCCATGCTTGCCCTGCTCTTGGAAGTGGTGCTGGTTCCAGTGGCTGCTTCAATGCGACCCTACAATAACAAACCCCCAGGAGACTGAGTCGCTGCTTGTCTCACCCCTCCCCCTTCGTTCCCCCCCAGAAATCACTCTTTTCCTGGACCAGCCCTGAGGCCCGGGGTAGCTCCTGGATTGTAAACAAGCTCCCTTCTCCCCAATGCCCTGAGTATCTCTCCCTTCCCTGGCCCCCAGCCTAAGACTCTTGAATCCCTGAAGGGACCAAATAGGAAAGGGACTGGGGGGAGGGAAATTCTTTTACTTTTTATCTTCCCTCCCTCCCAACGCAGGATCTGTTCTCTGTGTCTATATTTACCAACCAGAGGATGTTTTTCCCCTTGTTTTTTTCTGTTTAGTGACCAGATTCATTGAAACATTGGGCTGGCTCGAGAAGTCAACCTAGACCTAGGTGTTTGTCTAACTTTGTCTAATTATTTCTTCCCTCCGATGCTTTCCCCAGAAGGGATCAGGCAGGCCGAACGCAAGAGGGTATCTCCTGTCCACCACCCCCTTTCCCTTTGCCATCAGTAATATCCTTTGGCACTGAGTTCCACAGGTTGATTATATGCTTTAAACATATTGCTTTTTTAAATTAGAACTGGAAGGAAGTTTTCCAAGTGCATGTTTTTTTGCTGGAAAATGCCGATTCATCGACCGCTTGTGGAAACAAGTCGATTTTGATGAAATTTTGTTTGGAGGGGAAAAAATGGAGGGAAAAATCCACATAAAATTTCAGTTTTCCGTTAATGAAATGACTCTTTGGTATCTTTACATTTTATATTCTGTAATCCAGTGTAATACATTTAAAAAGTCAAAATCTAAATGAAACGAAAAAAATGAATTTATTTGCAGAACTGTGTGTAATCAGAAAAAAAAATCAAAATCCTGGAATTTCCAGCCCAAATGGAAAATTCAATCCTACTTTTAGCTACCTGATGCCCCCGCTGCTAATATTAGGAGAGGGTAAACAGAAGCTCCTTACTGACCTGCTCCGAACCATTCCTTATTTTACATTTCCCTGTTCCCATGTGGATCATATTGACCCCCTTTGAGAGTTGCTGATGAAAAGTGCTAGAAGAGCAAGGAATGATTATCCACCTGACAACAGTGAACCAAAGGGGCTATCAATTTCAAACGCAGCTTCATTTTCTTCTGTCAGGGCTGGTGGCCTCAGACCATCCGAGGCTGGTGATTCATGTGATTTCCAGCACATGCTGTGCAGATGGTTTTCTGTCTGTTACAGACCACTGCTGGAGTGGGACCTTTGCATAGAGAAGTCGGGTAAGTCCTGGTAGGGTTTTTAGTGAGGAGTGTCATCTGGTTTGGTAACTCAGAGTTCTTGGATGGGCCACAAGGCAAATCCCATCCTTTCCTCGTTGTTAAGAGAAAAGTTATTTCCCTTGATGTCCTAAGCAAATTCCCTAAATATCCCCTAACTCCTTGTCCGCCAGTTTCAGTTGAACATAACATTATTATTTATTTTTTACTTCCTGTTCTAATCTGTGGGGCAGTGTTGCTGTGCAAATAGTCTCTGTGCTCCACCCTAGAGGTGGCTGCATTTCAGTGATGAGTAGAAGTGAGGACATTCAGGTTATTGTTTTGAGCCAGTACCTGTTTACAATGGTGCCAATGGCACGGTGGTGCTGGGCCCACACTCAGAAGGGTCCCCGGTGCCTGGATCGAGCACGGGCAGAGCCTGGGGGGGGGGGAGAGGCCAAGGCCTCAGGGGAAGAGACTGAGCGGGGGCAGGACCTCAATGCCAAGGCCTCGGGGGAAGAAGCCAAGTGGGGGTGGGACCTCAGGGCCAACGCCTTGGGGAAAAGGGTCTAGCGGGGGGCCGAGGCCTTGGGGGAAGGGGCTGAGGCCTCGGGGGAAGGGGCCGAGCAGGTGGCAGGGCCACGGTCCAGGCACTGGGGCCCACAAAAGATTAATCCAGCCCTGGCTAGAGCACATCTCTCCGCAGTTCTGCCAGTTCGTTAGTGAAACTGACATAAATATTTGCATGCTGGGGTGAAGAGTGCATTGAAATGATCACACAAGTGTGAGATGAAACTGAGCAGGCTGATCTAATATCTCCACCTCTGTTCACTTCCAGCCCCTGTTTTGCTGTAGTGGCTCTCCCTGATGATCTGAGTGGATCTTCCCGGTACACCATGGCACGGCATAGCAAGCTCCAGAAGCAAGTCTTAAGCTTGTACAGACAGTTCCTACGAGCCGGCAAAGAGAAGCCGGGGTTCTTACCTCGGATACAGGCCGAGTTCCGGAAGAACGCCAGCATCCCCCGGATGGATGTTATGCACATTGAGTATCTCATCCGCCGCGGCCAGAGGCAGCTGGAGCAGCTCAGAGACGTTAACACCAAACAAATGGGCACCTTTGTCAAAACCAAGCCGGAAGAGCGGTGACCCCTGCTGGCTGGCGCAGGCGGCTTTCTTGTACTGGGACAGTTAGCGTGTGAATTCAGAGACATGCCTTCCACATTCTCACATCCTCGTGCACCCCTTTCTGTTTGCACATGGGTCCGATCACAGTGAAGGAAAACTATCCAGTCGGTGCAATTGTCCTACCTGGATTGGAGTTCACTGGGATAAATGAAGACTGGTTTAGGTGTCTCTACACGAGGGAGCCACTAGAGGGTGCATTTGAGAAGCCGATCTCTATAATTCTAAGCTTTTTAATAATTCAAGTGTAGATGGGTGATCTGGAGGTGACGTTCTTGTTTCCAATACCTGGGACGTAATCCGTTCCTACCCCTGTTGTCTCCTCTAGTCTCAAACAGGCAGATTACCCAGAAAAATAAAAGAAAGGGACAGTGGTGGGTTGAAATTCTATTTCTGTCATTTTTTTTTTATTATCTATAGTGCCTAAAAGCCCCAGTCATGGACCAGGCCCCCACTGCGCTAGGTGCTGTACAAACAGTGGATCTGGGTGCTACAATTCTTGAGTGCCCCACCAAAGTGCCTTCGAAGGATCAGAAAGAGCCGAGCACCTGCCTTTTGAAAATCGGGTTCCTTAAGGTGTCTCATGACGGGAGGCTCCTTCCCTGCAACCCAAAATCACTACCCACTTCTGAAAATAAAGGCCTTTGGGCCAAGGTGTTTTCCAGGGTGTACCAGCTGTGTGTGTGTTGGCAGGCGAGTTTCCCGCATGTGTCTCCCTCCCCCAGTGTAACTTGGCTCTGCCATGGAGGGACCATGTCTAGGCCTGAGAAGCTACTAGCGAGTGGTGGCTGGCTTGCTTAGCCCTGGTTTAATAGTTTTATGGCTGTAGCTACCCTCGTCGAACCCTCCTAGCGTAGACGCAGCTTATCCCACCGAAGTGCCTTTGCCGGTGAGAGCTTATTACCAGTGAAGCAAGCTCTCGATTCACAGAGTTTAAGGCTTGAAGGAACCAGTGGATCATAGAACTGGAAGGGACTTTCCGGGTCAGCAAGTATAGTCCGAACCCTGTCATAGAACCCCGGTCAAAAACTTACTGAGCTCCATTGTCAGATCAGTTCAATTGTTTGCCCTCAGCTCCTTTTGGGAGGCTGTTCTCTCTCCTCTGATGGTTATAAACCACCTGGTTTCCAGCCTGAACTTATTCCTGGCCAGTTTCTACCCCTTTGTCTGACCTCTAGATCACAAGCCATAAAATGTCACCTAATTACCCCAATAACTTGTGTTGGACTAAACCATCTTCCAGAATGGCCCCTGGTCCTTAGATGGAGAATCCAGCATTTCCCTTGGAGGATGGTTTCATTGTTAAGAAATTGCACCTTATTCCTAACTTGGATTTGTCCGGTTTCAGTGTCCAGCCATCGGTTCTTGTTCTGTCTTTCTCTAGCTGAAAGAACCCTTTAGGATGTGCTCTTTTCTCCTCATGGAGTTACTGTTACACTGCGATCCAGTCTCTCATCATCAGGCATTTTCTCCAGCCCTTGAATTATTTTGATGGCTCTTCGTTGCACCCACTCCAATTTTGTCACTTTTCTGCCAGTATAATTGTGTCTACACTGGGGTTCTTGCAAAAAAAAAAAAACCCTCCAATTGCCATTGTGAAAGTGGCAAAAGTTAGTCGCGTCGCTCTGGCCTTATTCATAGATCTATGCCTTATCCAAAGGACGTCCTATCCCGCAGTGTGAAAACATTCCAGGGAGCTAAACCCAGCCCCACAGTGCTATGAAGCTGGTGATCTATGTGTCCTCAGATTGGCAATTGCAGTGAATTCTTGGTGCCTTGAAGATGATTTTACTGCCACTGGCGGCTTGATTCTCTGAAAGAGCAAATCGCTTTGGTTCGCAAATGTGCCAGTCCTCTGAGTCCTTCGGCATTTACAGTCCACACTATGGCTAGACTCCGCTGCAGCCTCTAAAATCATAGAAATGTCAGGTTGGAAGGGACCTGGAGAGATCATCACGTCAAGCCCCCTGCGCTGAGGCAAAGCCAAGTAAACCCAGCCCAGCCCTGACAGGGGTTTGTCCAGCCTGGTCTTAAAAATCTCCAGTGACAGGGATCCCACAGCCTCCCTTGGGAGCCTGTTCCAGAGTTTCACTCCCCTGAGAGTTAGAACATTTTCCCTAACATCTCCCCTAAATCTCCCTCGCTGCAGATTAAGCCCGTTACATCTTGTCCTCCCTTCAGCGGACATGGAGAACAGTTGATCACCAGCCTCTTTATAACAGCCATTAATGTATTTGACGACTGCTCTTGGTCTCAGTCTGCTTTTCTCCAGACTAAACACACCCAGTTTTTTTAACCTTTCCTCCTAGGTCAGGTCTTTGAAACCTTGAATCCTTTTTGTTGTTCTCCTCTGGGCTCTCCCCAATTTGTCCACGTCTTTTCCTAAAGTGTGACACCCAGAATTAGACACCGCGCTCCAGCTGAGCAGGACAATTACCTCCCGTGTCTGACATGCCACTTCTCTTAATACACCCCAGGACGATGTCACCTTATTGAAGGGGTCTGTGTCTGAAACCGCTTCTCTCTAAGGTGCTGTGATTGTGTTTCTCCACCTGAACCCTCTCTCGGATCTTGTTACGACTTGAATGTGCATGTCACGGTTCACCGCCCTGCCTGCACCTTGGACCCTGCCCTGACTTCTGAGCGCAACCTCTCAGGTGTCAGGCCTCCTGCTTTCAGTGCTTATCAGTGGGAATAAGGCGTAGCCAGAGAAAAGGGTTTCTCACCCCATTCACACGGGTCAGTCTCATCCCAGAGCCTTCCCATCTCTGGGGTCTGGGACCACCTTTGCGCCAACTTTGCCTCTTTTTATAAAACCCACCAAGTCCTTTGTCTTCCCCTGGAGCTGGGTTTGTCCGGCTCTCCAGGGGGGTCGGAGATAGATTTCAAGGAAATTGCTTTTCTGCCCTGTCCTTTAAATACTGGAAAATGGGGGTAGCTGAAACGACGCTCCCCTTTCTCGCTTATGTGCAAGCCGGCCCCTGTTTGAATTAACCCTTGGCAATCCTATAGCAAGCAACCCAGGAAGAATCAGACAGACAGATGGGTCAGATTAATAAGTATCACAGGCAGCTCTCACGCCCTTCAGTCCCAAAGTGTGTGTTGCGGGGAACGGTATGTGCAGCTTCTGCTTATAAAGGTGGGAGACATTTCTGAGCGCAGGGCTACAGGCAGAAAGGGTTCATTCATCTGCTCTTCCAGGCTCCTCAACTGCAGCTGAACAGCAATGCTTCCCTGGCTTGAAACTGATCGGTTGGCGGGTTTAGCTGCCTGTGGGTTAGCTGAGTACACGGAACAGGTAAATAAACCCGATGGCCAGTTTAGATCAGGTGTCTGCATTTATCCAGCTCAAGCAGGGCTGGGGTTTGATTGGGGCGGTGTGTGGTAGCCCCACCTCTCTGGGTTTCAGTTCCTGGCTCTGCCACAGGCTCGCCGCCTGACTTTGGGGAAGTCACGTTGCTCCCTGCATCAGTTTCCCTATCTGTAAAAGAAGGGAAACCACCTCCTTCTCCTACTAGGGAGTTACAAATTTGGGCATAAGCTTTCATGGGCTAGCACCCACTTCATCAGATGTATGAAGTAAAATTGGGGAAATTAAGTTTAGGTTTTGTAATGATTGTAATGGTTGGGTCATTACAAAACCTAAACTTAATTCCCCCAATATTAATTTCTCCCTACTGTTACTCACACCTTCTTGTCAACTGTCTGTAATGGACCACTCTCTTACCACTTCAAAAGTTATTTCTCCTCCCTTGGTATCCTGCTGTTAATTGATTTATCTTGTTAGACTGACCTAACACTTGGTAAAGCAACCCACATCCTTTCATGTATTTATACCTCCTGCATCTTTTACATCATACATCTGACGAAGTGGGTTCTAGCCCACGAAAGCTTATGCCCAAATAAATTTGTTAGTCTCTAAGGTGCCACAAGGACTCCTCATTTTTTTTGCTGATACAAACTAACACGGCTACCACTGAAACCTACTAGGGAGTTGTGAGCCGTGGTCATTAGCCCACAACACGTGAGGGACATTATTTTAACGTACTTCTGGGAACAGACCTAAGGGAACCATTGGGCCAGTGTGCTAGAACAATTCCTATGGCCAGTCTAGCAGCCTCTCTCTGACAGAGCTTCAGAAGAAGGTGCAAGGAGCCTCTACTAAGGAATAACCTGCCTCTAGGGAAAGGATCTTCCCAATGCCCCATAGCTGGGGGCCAGTTAATGCCCTGCTGTAGAGGTTTATAGCATATCTCTAGCTATGGAATGGTCTTCCCAAGGGAAAGGAGAGGGAATGCCATTGCTTGGGATGTTTACGCTCGACTGGACACAGCCCTGAGGACTAGAAGAGAACAGAATCATTCTGTGCTGAGACCTGGGGCCTAGCTATGGACTCGTCTACACTACAGAGCCTTGGCCGATATAACTCTGCCGGCAGCGCCCCCTACTGGAGACTGCTGCCAGAAGGTGCCCTGCCAGTGTAATGGACGACATGAGCTAAGCCAACAGAAGTTTTCTTCTGTCTGCAGAGTTGCAGCTACCCTGGAGGTTTTGCCAGAATCGCTATGTTGGCTGGGTGTGTGGGGGTTTTTTCACACTCCCTAGCCAACAAAGCTATGCCGGCCAAACTTTGCAATGTAGACTAAGCCCACGGTAACGGAGGCGGGTTTGTCCCCGTGGTCTGGATCAGCCCGTCCTGGCAATGGCTTGGAATTGCTGGCTGAGAAACGAGGCTCTAACAGAGAGATGGGGATGGTGTCGGAAGCAAATCCAAGTGTTTTGAGGGGTGGGATTCTGGAGGGGAGGGATGACCTATGCTCCTGCCTGCCAGAATCTGCCAGGTTCTAAGCACAGACCGCTCTGGAGATCTGAGTTCGCTGCTCGAAACCTGGTCGCGAGCATGAGCAGCCTCTGTTCTGCTATCTCGGAAGGAAGGGGACAAAGTTCAGAGAGTAGGTGCCAAGCTGGGCTGGAGTCTTTGAGCTCAGCTTTTGCTTTGCCCTTCCTTGAAGGCTGCGCTACAGGTGAGTGGTGTTTTCATCTCTGCTCTTGCGGTATTTCTCATGGGTTTTGTGTCCTGATTTGTGAGGGGTGTGTGTGGTGGTGGTGGTGGTGGGGGTGTCATTAATGTGCCGTAAGCTTTATAGCCTCTTCTACACAGGCTAGCCCCAACCTCTAGATCATCTGTTTCCAAGCTCTGTGGCTAGCTTAGAGGCCAGCAGTATGGTCTAGTGGCTCGGGTATGAGGTTGGGTATAAGAACTCCTGGGTTCTAGTCTCCGGTGAATAAGGCACAGGTTTGCATGTCCTGTCTCCCCAGTTCTGCACTCGCTCACTGTGTGACCTTGGGGAAGTCTTTTCAGGTCTCCCGTTTCCTGTCTGTAAAAGGCAGATTTAACCGCCTGGGGCAAGTGCTTTGAGATCTGCATGAGTTTGTTTAGGTCATAAGCGTGTAGGGACATGGGCTGTGTAAAAGCGTGACCAAACTGCTAGTGCTTAATAAATATTGATTCATAGCATGCATGAGGCCGTGAATAGCCAAGAGACAGAGAAATTAAGACGCAAAGGAGGTTTTGTGGTGTCTGCACCTGAGGGCTGAAAGGAATGAAATGGAGAGTTGATGAGACCCAAGGAAGCTGTTCCAGACAGTAGGAGATGCTGGAGAGGAGGCCAAGTTTGGTCGGCTGGAGCAATTCCATGGAACGTTCCCGACTGTATCCTGAAGGCAGTCGGGAGCCGGGCAGCTGTGTCTGGATTGGAGCTGATGTAGGCAGAGAGTGGCAGCGGGGACTCAGGATAGCCACTGAGGGGGGACGCCCAATAGCTCAAGCAAGATGAGCTGAAAATGCAGGCGATTTTAGCAGTGGCTCGTCAGCGGGACGCAAATTCCACCAGTCAAGATGTGTTTGGGACTCATGTTAGTTTCATCCAATTTTGATGCAAAGTTATGAAAGCGCTTTGATCATTTCGACTTTATACATTGAGAGGAAGCACTTTGGGCTTATAAATTATACTATAAATCAAAGTGCTTTATTTCAACCCATATCATATATGAACCATTATTCAATAGTAAATATTGATTCTATGTGATTTTTTTTTTTTTTTAAATGTAAAAGCGCTTTTTTGACTTTTTTTTACATTATATTACAAGTAGAAATTAAGCACTTTGGGCACATATATAAGCCAAAAGGCTTCATCTCAACATATACCCTATATGAAACATTATTAAACATTACAGAATATATTCTATTTGAAATGAAAAATAATCAAAGCGCTTTGGTTTGACTTTGAAAGCCCTTTGGGCTTATACATGATAAGAAGTTGAAGCATTTCATTTCAACATATACATGGAGCGTTATGAAATGGGATATTCGAAGTGAACCGCTTTGATCAAGTTGTTCCAAACCCATTTTTCGCAAATTTCGTTCTGCGGGAAATCCTCACAATTTCATCTTTTTCTTCCAATTTGGGAGGAAAGGAAACGGAGTGGAAATTCCGAGGTCTGACCAGCCCTAGGGCAGATGCAGCTGTGACGAAGGTGGGCCGCAGAGAAGGGGTGACAAAGGCCGGGAATAGCTCAGCTTTGAGGACAGCCCTGAGCTTGAGGAGGCAGAGCTGTTCTGAGTTAGGTTGGACATTAGGAAAAACTTCCTAACTGTCAGGTGGTTAAGCACTGGAATAAATCGCCCAGGGGGGTTGTAGAATCTTCATCACTGGAGGTTTTTAAGAGCAGGTTTGACAAACACCAGTCAGGGATGGTCCAGATAATACTTTAGTCCTGCCTCGGTGCAGGGCGTGGACTAGATGACCTCTCCAAGTCCCTTCCAGTCCTACTTTGCTATGATTCTATGAGCTGGTGGAGCCAGGTTTTGAAACATCTGTATCCTCCTTAAGAACGGATACCAGCTAGGCTTCAGATACACTGGCTGTCTCTCCTCTCACGGCCCAGCCAAGCTGCTGCTGCTGGAATAGCTCAGGTTAGCTTCACCTGCTCTGTCTTGGAGACGCTTCACAGCAGAAAGGCCTATAAAGGCATCTTGCTGATCTTCCTCTGCATTCTCTTTATTTTTTTTTTTCCTCCCTAGCTGGCTGATCTAGTCAAGCATCGTCAGGCCTTGAATGCCCCAGGAATTACCAGTGCGATGGTCTCCCATGCCCAAGGTAATCAGCTGGCTAGTTGTGGACAGAGTCCTTGGTTCTCAGCTCCACATCAGGCATGGAGGGTTGGGCTGCAGAAGCCAGGTCTGTGTGACCTGATAGCTAGGAGCCAGCCCACAGCTGGTTATCAGGGAGGCAGCTGCATTGACCTGAGAATGGCTGGAAGCCACCATGACTCATTGTGATCTGGGGTGGGGACTTGAGACCTGCCAACATTTCCAGTCCTGCCCTTGCTCCCAGGGTATCTGGCTATTTCTCCTGATACAGTTGGTGGTGGGATAGTTATTTACCTAGACATTAAACTCTTTGGGACAGGGGCCGTCTTTTTGTTATGTGTATGTAAGCACCCAGCACAGTGGGGCCCCCAATCCTTCATTGGCTGCCTTAAGATGCTACAAATAATACAAGTAATCACTGGCAACGCTGTTAATAAGAAAATCATCATTAGGCTCCAGAGTTAACAGCACCACAATGAATGAGGGCTGCTTGCTCCTCTTGGAGCTACTTGTCACAGGCAGACAGCACTGCATAGGGCCCCATTGGGATATCTCCTTTTTAGTCATGAGATCTGGACGCTTTAATATGGATAAATATATATACCGTATATACTCGTTCATTAGCCCGTTCATTTATAAGCCGACCCCCCCACGATGGTTAGGTAAAAATAGCAAAAACTGTATGACCCTTTCATAAGCCAACCCTATATTTCAGGGGTTGGCAAACTTTGGCTCCTGGCCCGTCAGGATAAGCCGCTGGCGGGTCGGGACATTTTGTTTACTTGGAGCGTCTGCAGGCATGGATCCCCTCAGCTCCCTGTGGCCCCGGCACGCCACTTCCCGCAGCTCCCATTGGCTGGGAACAAAGAACCGCGGCCACAGGGAGCTGAGGGGCTCCATGCCTGCAGACGCTCCAGGTAAACAAAACGACAATGTATTAGATATTCAATTCAATGATTCCATAGAGTTTAAAATCATCAAATTTTGGTGTAGAGCCGTTTATAAGCCGACCCCCGCTCTTTGATGCGTCACTTTTTTACCAAAAATATTCGGCTTATGAACGAGTATATATGGTATATGTTAGAATCATAGACTATTATGGTTGGAAGAGACCTCAGGAGGTCATCTAGTCCAACCCCCTGCTCAAAGCAGGACGAACACCAACTAAATCATCCCAGCCAGGGCTTTGTCAAGCCGGGCCTTAAAAACCTCTAAGGATGGAGATTCCACCACCTCCCTAGGGAACCCATTCCAGTGCTTCACCACCCTCCTAGTAAAATAGTGTTTCCTAATATCCAACCTAGACCTCCCCCACTGCAACTTGAGACCATTGCTCCTTGTTCTGTCATCTGCCACCACTGAGAACAGCCGAGCTCTAGCCAATTTGGAACCCCCCTTCAGGTAGTTTGCTATCAAATCCCCCCTCACTCTTCTCTTCTGCAGACTAAATAACCCTAGTTCCCTCAGCCTCTCCTCGTAAGTCATGTGCCCCAGCCCCCTAATCATTTTCGTTGCCCTCCGCTGGACTCTCTCCAATTTGTCCACATCCCTTCTCTGGTGGGGGGACCAAAACTGGACGCAATACTCCAGGTGTGGCCTCACCAGTGCCGAATAGAGGGGAATAATCACTTCCCTTGACCTGCTGGCAATGCTCCTACTAATACAGCCCAATATGCCGTTGGCCGTCTTGGCAACAAGAGCACACTGCTGACTCATATCCAGCTTCTCGTCCACTGTAATCCTCATCATAGGCGCTGACTCCATGGGTGCTCCGGGGCTGGATCACCCACTGGGAAATATTGGTGGGTGCTCTGCACCCACCGGCAGCTCCCCGCCCTGCACTCCTGCCCCAGCTCCCCTCCGCCTCCCCCCCTGAGCGTGCCGCGGCTCCGCTTCTCCCCCCTCCCTCCCAGCGCTTCCCGCCGCAAAACAGCTGATTCGCGGTGGCAAGCACTGGGAGGGAGGGGGCAGGAGGGGGAACGCGGCACGCTCGGGGAAGAGGCGGGGTTGGGGCAGGGATTTGGGGAAGGGTTTGGGATGGGGACAGGGCAGGGGCAGGAGGGGGTGAGGCGGGGTGGAGGCGGAGGCGAGCACCCACCAGCGCCTGGAAAAGTTGGCGCCTATGATCCCCAGGTCCTTTTCTGCAGAACTGCTGCTTAGCCAGTCGGTCCCCAGCCTGTAGCGGTGCATGGGATTCTTCCGTCCTAAGTGCAGGACTCTGCACTTGTCCTTGTTGAACCTCATCCGATTTCTTTTGGCCCAATCCTCCAATTTGTCTAAGTCACTCTGGACCCTCTCCCTACTCTCCAGCGTATCTACCTCTCCCCCCAGCTTAGTGTCATCTGTGAACTTGCTGAGGGTACAATTAATCCCATTATCCAGGTCATTAATAAAGATATTGAACAAAACCGGCCCCAGGACCGACCCCTGGGGCACTCCCCTTGATACCGGCTGCCAACTAGACATCGAGCCGTTGATCACTACCCGTTGAGCCCGACAATCTAGCCAGCTTTCTATCCACCTTATAGTCCATTCATCCAATCCATACTTTTTTAACTTGTTGGCAAGAATACTGTGGGAGACCATATCAAAAGCTTTGCTAAAGTCAAGATATCACATCCACTGCTTTCCTCATATCCACTAGGGTGACCAGATGTCCCGATTTTATAGGGACAGTCCCATTTTTGGGGTCTTTTTCTTATACAGGCTCCTATTACCTCCCCACCCACTGTCCCAATTTTTCACACTTGCTTTCTGGTCACCCTAATAGCCACAAAGCCAGTTATCTCATCATAGAAGGCAATCAGGTTGGTCAGGCATGACTTGCCCTTGTTGAATCCATGTTGACTGTTCCTGATCACCTTCCTCTCCTCCAAGTGCTTCAAAATGGATTCCTTGATGACCTGCTCCATGATTTTGCCGGGGACTGAAGTGAGACTGACTGGTCTGTCGTTCCCCGGGTTCTCTTTTTTCCCTTTTTAAAATATGGGCACTATATTTGCCTTTTTCCAAGCGTCCGGGAACTCCCCCGATCGTCACGAATTTTCAAAGATAATGGCCAATGGCTCTGCAACCCCATCAGCCAACTCTCTCAGCACCCTTGGATGCATTAGGTCTGGACCCATGGAATTGTGCATGTCCAGCTTTTCTAAATGGTCCTTAACCTGCTCTTTCACCACTGAGGGCTGCTCACCTCCTCCCCATGCTGTGTTGCCCAGTGCAGCAGTCTGGGAGCTGACCTTCTCCGTGAAGACCGAGGCAAAAAAAGCATTGAGTACTTCAGCTTTTTCCACACCATCTGTCACTATGTTGCCTCCCCCATTCAGTATTTAATATTTAATATTTAAGGCAAAGGTTAGCATCTGTAGAAATGGGTGTTTTCAGCAAGGAAATGGGGCCCGGTTTCTAGCTCCAGCCCCTCCCTTAGGTGCGGTTGTGGCTGGCATAGTTTCAAAAGTGGAGTTCCACTGGTCCTCCGCCTGCTGGTGCTTATCACTCCCTCGCCTCTTGCTGTTTAACCGGCTTGTTTAACCAAGGAGGGAAGGAAAGGGGGAACCTTCGGCCATTGGAAGGTTGCGTGCAAATGAAGGGAAAGGGGATGGATAAAGAAGGGCTGAGCGGGTGGTGCTGCCTCTATTTAAATACACGCCCAAAGATGCCCTGAAAAGCTGGGAGTATCACTGGGTGCCTGGCCTGAAGGAGGTGGCTAAGCAGTTCTGCAGCTGGAGTTTTGGACCCTTGTTATTCCTGGGCTCCTGGTAATGGATGTAGACGGCTCCCATTCAGTGGGATTTCTGCCAGGAAGATGACCACAAATAGTGGCTTTTATTCCCCATGTCGCTTTCCCAGGCATCTGACTTTTGTGGCTGAGATCAAGAATTGAATGCAATTCAAAGAGGAGCTGGATGATTTAGCTGGCTAGCCAGAGTTAGAATAGTTAATAATAATCCCTAGCTCAGGGGTTCTCAAACTGGGGGTCGGGATCCCTCAGGGGGTTGCGAGATTATTACATGGGGGGTCATGAGCGGTCAACCTCCACCCCAAACCCCGCTTTGCCTCCAGCATTTATAATGGTGTTAAATATATAAAAAAGTGTTTTTAATTGATAAGGGGGGGTCGCACTCAGAGGCTTGGTATGTGAAAGGGGTCACCAGTAAAAAAGTTTCAGAGCCACTGCCCTAGCTATTATTTGTAGATCTCAAAGCACTTTAAAAAGGAGAATCAGTATTAGTATTCCCATTTTACACATGGGGAAACTGAGGTAGAGAGCCTCACCAAAGGTCACCCTGTGGGAGAGGCAGGAATAGAACCCAGCTTTCCTGAGACCAAGCTCAGTGCTTTGTTTACTAGGCCACATCTAATACAACCACAAATATTAGAAGGGATATTAAACCTCCTCCTTCAAGGTTTTAAACCAATCTTTGTTAGAGACCAGCATGAGACCTCGGGGTGGGGTGGTAGATTAAGAACAGTGAGGATAGCTCAGTGGTTTGAGCATTGACCTGCTAAACCCAGGGTTGTGAGCTCCATCCTTGAGGGGGCCACTTAGGGATCTGGGGCAAAATCAGTACTTGGTCCTGCTAGTGAAGGCAGGGGACTGGACTTGATGACCTTTAGTCCCTTCCAACCCTGATATTCTATGATAATTCAGCAGACCTCAATGTTACTCATAGAGAAAGACCACAGGCATGGTCTGGTGACAAAGGCCCTCAGACAGGTTATTGCCCCAAAGGCACAGTCCTAGCACCCTGGCTCTGTGGTTACATGTACACTAACCCATGAGTGCTCTGTGGTAAGGAGCGGCTCAATCAGCAGCGGAAGTCTCTGCTACCCCTTAGGCCACACAAAGGGTTAAGGCGAGGTACTCCGATATTTATAGCCTGAAACAAACAACTTGCGTACCACCTTACGTGTTTTATGGCGTTTGCTACCTCCCCTTGTTCCTAATATCTTGAACAAAAAATTTCTATTCGTTATTTTGTCAAACCATCTTATCTTGTACTAGATTCGGATGTATCTGTATTTGCTGCCATATATTTATGTAAATATCCAGAGCCTAGTGCACTAGCAACAACTTTGCCAAGTTCATGTACTGGACAGAGAATTTGTAAGCATCTGTTGTATTGGCCTGACTGGTTCATAGCCTCTGGTTCAGGCCTTAAATCTTACACCAGGCCCAATACTACACCTAGCAGGACATGGTGACTACATCTCAGGGATGTCTGGTCAATTCATCATTTAACCAGCTGCGTCCTTAGCAACTACAGCTTAGCAACTACGCTCAATCTGAAAATACTAGCTAGAGCTAATGGCCGTGCAGCACAGGCAGGCAACAGCACCACCTGCTATCCCACAAGAAAACAACATGCAACAGCCAAATTGCATCCAATTTGCTGCTGAGGAAATTTTCCAAGGCAGAGATGGATGCTAATCTCCCCCTAAAACTTCAATAGGAAAATGGAGCCTTCAGGATGCCTGGTGTTCTGCAACAGGTGCTTCCATGAATGTGTTATTTTCTCATTAGGTCTCTTGCCACTATTTGCATAAAGCCCTTTGGAGTTAGGTTGTCTTTCTTCCCGACATAGCAGGGTGCAAGTTTATTAATAAAATAATGACTTAAACAACACTTCGTTGCTTCTGTTGGCCACACTAGGGTCTCTTTGCGTATCCCTCCATTTCCCCTCTGAGTGCCATCCTCCCATCCCCCACTATTTCAGGACTTCCTGAAACTCCCCCATCAATCCCCCAATGCCAAGGGCTCTGTGTTTCCCATGCCCCCTCCTCTATACCATTGTCCCTCATATCCCCCACACACCAGGGGTTTCATAGATTCCCAGGCCAGAAGGGACCATTGTGATCATCTAGTCCAGTGGTCCCCAACATGGTGCCCGCGGGCGCCATGGCGCCCGCCGGGGCATTTATGTGCGCCTGCCGGACAAGTAGCCGCCGAAATGCCGCCAAGAAGCGTCAACACCAAGAAGCGTCAGCCGCCGAAATGCCGCCGAGAAGCAGCATCATCGAGAAGCGTTGCTGCCGAAATGCCGCCGAGAAGCAGTGGCATTTTGGCAGCAACGCTTCTTGATGACGCTGCTTCTCTGTGGCATTTTGGCAGCCACGCTTCTCGATGACGCCGCTTCTCGGCAGTATTTCGGTGGCTGGTCGTCCGGCGCCCGCCACACTGAAAGGTTGGGGACCACTGATCTAGTCTGACCTCCTGCATAGCACAGGCTGGAGAACTGCCCCAACACAATTCCCAGAGCAGATCTTTTAGACAAACACCCAGTCTTGATTTAAAAATTGTCCGTGGATTGAGAATCCACCGTCAACCTTGGTCAATTGTTCCAGTGGCTAACTGCTCTCCCTGTTAAAAATTTACTCCTTATTTCCAGGGTTCTGTGTGGTTTCCCCCACTGCAGCTACATTAGTATGGGAGGCAGGAGGGCTAGCTGCCCTGAGAACATATCTAGGAGGATTTCAGATGGGATCCTACCTGTGGCAGCTAGACACTGCTATTTTTAGCATGCTGGCTCGCTCAGAGCTAGTGTGAATATGTCTACCAGGGTTGGAGATCCCACCTCCAGCTCCAGCATAGACATACCCTAAGTGGCTTTCTTGATGGGAATCTGAGTGCAGAGGCCAGGAACACGAAGGGTCTCGGACCTTTGCCAAGTATTAAAAGCTCACAAGGAAAAGAAGGGGAGTAATCGAGCATCCACCACTGATGCTCTCGGTGAAGCTGATCTTCGTGTTTTCCCTTGTCCCTGTTGCAGAGTTCCAGACCAAAGAGGATGTCTACTGCTTCGCCTTAGCAAAGGCCCTGTACAGTGTGCCCACGCCAGTGACTGTCGGGTTTTATGCACCATGGGGACACTGCAAAAACCTGCTCTTACAGACAATCCGGCGTGAGTACTGCCCTGTCCAAATTTCATGGTGCCCTAGGCAGCTGCGTGCGGCATACGCGGCAGCACCAGCCCCATCTCTTGGCCAGCCCCCCTGGCAAGGGGCAGGGCCGTCCCTAGGGGGGTGTGGGGCTCTGGACAACTCCCTCCGCCCTGCCTCTTACCCTCCCCCCACCCCCCGCTCCACCCCCGGCTCGCCCCCATTCCACCTCTTCCCCCAGCGACCCCGCACTCACCGGCAGCGGCGGGAAGTGGAGCAACCTGGCCCCAGCCCGCTCTACTCCGCCAGCTCCCAGCCGCGGCGCTCCGCTTCCCGCCGCCGGTGAGTGCGGGGAAAGGATCGCCCCCCGCACTCACCGGCGGCAGGAAGCGGAGCGCTGCGGCTGGGAACTGAAGGAGTAGAGCGGGCTGGGACCGGGCTGTTTCGCTTCCCACCGCTGCTGGTGAGTGGCGAGGGGATCCCTTCCCCCAAGCCCCCTCCCCCAAGAGACACGGCTGGAGTCGGGGTGAGGGAAGTGGAGAGGGCTGCTCCCAGCCCCCCGCTAATCCCCCGGGCCACTCTGGGCCTGTGGGGCTCCCAGAAGTGGCCCCCCACAGCTCCTGCCTCCCAGACCCTGGGGAGGTATCTAACATACGCCTTCCTCTCTTATGGCAGAGTACATGGTTAGCGAATCAACAAAGAAAGACCAGCAGGAACTTCAGCGGACGGGGAAAAAGCAGCGTGGGAGCTCTGGCCGGGATCTGCTCAAGCTGCTGTTTCTCATGATCTTCTATCAGCCGGTCCTGACGGAGCAGCAGAAGCAGAGAAAGAACGTCCAGCATGTCTTCATCCATTTCAGTGCCTGGGAGTATGCGGGCAGCGACCAGCTGTGGGCAGGCCTCATCACCACGCTGTGTGATGGCATCGAAAGACACTTTGGTCTCCTACCCATGAGCATTTACAGGGCCATAGGCAGGAAATGTGGCATCATCGAGAGACCAGGGGATCAGGAATGGGTTAGCAAGAAGTACCTCTGCCTCCCCCTGTGGGCTGCTGTGATCCTTGTGACCGTGGTAGCTATTGGGGTGGGCGTTCTCCTCCTAGTGTTTGGGATCCCCTTTGGGAATGCCTCGGGAGACGCAATAGCTGTCGTGGAGGGCATTGGGGCGACGGCCGTTGGCGTCTCTGCGGCCGCTGCCATTCGGATTGCCATCATGGTGGTACGAAATGTCTTCGTTACCCAGAAGACCCAGCTGGAGAGACAGATGAATCGGACAGATCTCAGCGCTCAGCTGGGCTTCATGAGCAGCGTTAAAAGCGAAGTGAGGACAGTCACCAGGTTCCTTCAGTTCATGGAAATCTTCCAGCGGCGGAAGCTGCAGGTGGTGCTAGAGATCACCCACTTGGACAAGTGCAGCCCTGACAAGGTGGTCGGCGTCCTGGACGCCATGAACATCCTCCTCTCGGACTATGATGCTCCTTTCATCTCCATCCTGGCTGTTGACCCGAGTATCATCGTCGACTGCGTGGAAAGCTCCATGTACATGAAGGGCATGGCCAACAACGGCTACGAGTTCTTAAACCGCATCGTCACCCTGCCCTTCTCTGTCCCTCGGATGGACTGTGACACCAAGCTGAGACTGATCAGGGACATCACCGAGCGCCGGAAGCGGCAGGAGAAAGACCTAGAGGAGGAGGTAGGCTTCCAGCAGGATCCCACGATGGACGCTAACTCCAACTTTCTCTCAGTCCCTTGCTACAATTCTGCCAACCACGATGCAGAGAATCCAGGTGCAGATGACAGCCAGATACCTCTCGTTGTCAGAGACCTCAGAACCCAGGAACCAGGACCCCGTGGCTATAGGAAGGGCATCAGAGCCAAAGACCTCATTCAAGAAGCTTTTGACTACCTTCTGGATGACTCCTTGAAGGAATACATGACAGACAACGTGGTGCAGATGCGACGGATCGTGAACACCATCACCATCACCATCAGGCTCCTGGCGAGTAACGTCCCCAAGGACGAGGTGTGTCCAAAGAAGGTGGTGGACTGGGTGCTCCTTGCCAACCAGTGGCCATGCCGTCTGAGCTGGGTCTTGCAGTGCATCGAGGATGAGGAGCAGAGGAGCAACCTGGGCTGCTGCCAAGGAAGCCCACTCCCCCCGGACATGTTCCTGTGGGAGGTCTATGAGAAGTACGTGGAAGAGCTGGACATGCTTAAAGGCCAGATGGAAAAGCTTCTGGAACTGGACCGGGACCCTGAGCTCTTCCACAACTTCCTGTGTGGCAGGTTTCGGGTGAAGGAGGCCATCTTCTACTTGCCCTACACGGTCAACTTAGACCTGTCCTTGAAAAGGCAGATGGAGCTGCAACGTGGCAGTCACAGCCTGAAACGGACAAAGAAGTTCAACAGGCTCACCGCGTGCACCCTGCTGGGTATGACGGTGGATGATGTCTGCAGAGAGGTAGGTGACTGTCCGGCTTCCTGACACCCCGCAGAGTCAGCGGTCGGTAGACTGTCCCATGCTACTTAATAGCAAGCCACGTGACAGCTGCTCCTCACGCTGAGAGGGAGATGAGAGCTATGGGCACTGGAGCTGGGAGAAAACTATCCCATCGGACCAGTGCATTTGCAAAAGCAAACCATAAGTGTGCTGCAGGGCTGGACTCAGGTTTTAGGATTGACTGTTACCCTCTGAGTAGTGTTAGGAACATAGCAGTTGCTATCCTGGATACCCTCAACACTTCAGGGGATTTTTTAAATTCATAGTGACTATGCTTAACCCTTGGCAGAAGCGCTGCAACAGGGGGGGCCAAGAGGCCAGAGCTCCATTACTTTTAAAAGTGGAAGAGCTGTGCAGTTTTTCCCTGTCGTAAGGGGTGAGCAGCAGGAGGAGGGGGCGGGGAGGAGCGAGTGGAGGACAGGGTATCGAGGGGAAGAGGTGGCCTGGGGATGGGGCCTCAGGAGAATGGGTGGGGCGAGGGCGAGGGGAGAAGGGGAGGCACAGAGGCAGGGCCTCAGGGGAAGGAGTGGTGTGGGGGGACCCCCCCTACTTTTAGGGATCTCTAGCCGCTCCTGACCCTTGGTACAGGCTTGAAATGGCCCAGGAAATTTCTTCTTGGAACAACAACTCTGATCCTTGGAGCTCTGTCCTCTGACCCTAAAGTCCTTGGCCGGATCTCCAAGGGGCATAGGCGGCGAGTTATATGGGCCTGTGGTGCCCGTGCTCCACCAATATTTAGGAACGTGGGCCCGGCACCAACATTGTTTGGGCTTACCCCACCCCGCCCCCATTCCACCCCTTGCCCCAAGCCCGGGCCCCACCTCCTTCTGGCTTCCACCCCCACCCCTGAGTGATGCCGGGAGTCGGCGGGGCAGGGCAGACTGGAACCGGGTCGCTCGCTGCTGCCGGTGCCAGGCCCCCCCACTACCCCCACAGGCTGCCCTGGACTCTGTGTGCCCCTGAAGCACAAGGCCCCCCAAAGCACAAGGCCCAGGGTGATTGCCCCAGGCCGTCCTATGGACGAGACGGCTCTGCATGGACCCGTTATGGGCACCACCAAAAATTATACAAACCTGGTGCCCATGCCAAGGGGATCCTCCTTTACTCTCTGAAATGACTTCTGTCTGTCTTACGACTACGGAGGATTCTTAGCTATGTTTTTTATGTTCACAGCATGCACCCAGAGAAGTGAGATAAAAACATAAATACTCTTGCTGGAAGGTTGTAACGTAACACCACTTTATTTCTTAGAATCCAGAATAATACATGAGAACCAATAAACAGAGGAGACAAAGCAGGCTGCTCCCTAAGGTAGCGAGGCCCAACTCACCCCACTGCAGGCTGACTCTGACTGCGCACTTCCCTAAAGAGCCCTCTCGCCTGCAAGCAGGACCTAGGAAACCCCCTCACTCTTAAAGTGATAGCTTGCAATTCCAACACACTCCTCAGTACACCACACTATCCCTTTCCCCTTAGTTGCCTGATCTTCTGTACTTGTCATACCGACTTGATCAGTGGTACCTCCAGTAGTATTCCAGCATACACCAGAGGGATTTTCCAGATACTGTTGATAGTCCTGCAACGTGCTGGCACGTCTTGTTTGCTAGACTCTGAATGAGCTGACACAGGTTCCTCTCTGGAGCCATCACGGAATCTTCCTAAGAATGTGTTGTGAAACATTTCAAATATATGTGCGGCGCTAATGGAAGCTTCCTCTTCTCTTCCAGATGGACACAGTTGGCTTTAAGGAAGAAAACGTCCAGGAGTATAAACGGAGGCTGAGGGACCATAATCTAAATGGACGTGCCCTGGTTTACAGTGACAACAATGAAATCAAAGAAGCCCTCAGCATGAGCCTTGGCGAATGGACGCTCTTTAGCATATATTTCCTTGGAGTTCTTCCCCAGCCGAGTTTATCCCCTTCTGTTGCATCCTCAGTCCCGTTATATGTCAGGCAGGAGGCTCAGAAGAACATGTTTGGCTTAAGAGAGAACGTGGTTAGAGGGAGCAGGCTGTCTTTGAACATCTCCAGGGAAGATCTTCAGGAGAAGAGATAAATCTGAGTCCTGTAGAAAACTGGAAGCAAGATCTGGACTTTCCCCATCATTGTACCTCTCTGCACCATCAATGACATGTCACGGACAAAGCAATAAAGTGGCTCCGGAACAGTTAGTGATGTGAATGGGACACTATAGTATATCTGAGGGATTTGGGGCACATTCATGTCAACATAGTGGATCTTTAGACACTGGATGTCACAGTAGTTTTGTCTGGTTAGTACAGCAGGAGACTGGGAATCAGAACTTCTGGGATCTATTCCTAGTGCTGCCCCTGGCTTCTTGTGGTTTTGAGCAAGTTGCGCCTTCTTTCTGGGTCTCCATTGCCTCATCTGCAAAATGGGTTTAGTGCATATTTTAGTGCATGTGTTAGGAAAGTAACAGTGCATGTGTTATATGCACTAACTGTACTGTCGCATTAAGGGCAAAACTTGCCCCTTCCGCTGTGTCCCCAGGCACAATGGAACCAGGGTGATCGCCCCGTGGAGGTGGCACAGTCCAGGGAGCTCTCTCATGCCATCGGTGCTATCCCTCGCAGCAGAGCATGGGGAGCGAGGCAAGGGCAGAGGCCTGTGGATTCATATTTCCACAGATCTATTGGGCTGGATTCCAGTCTCACACTATTGTAAGTCAGAAGTGATGGAAGAGGACCATCCAGCCTTCTGTCTACAAAGCACTACGCCAAGATTAACCAGTTAATCCTCATGCACAACATCGGAGATGGGTAACTGTTTTTATCCCCTCTTTACTTAAGAGGGGCATGGAGCAAGGAGTAGGGACAGTTCCAGGGTTATATAGCAAGCCAGTGCTGGATCTGGGAATAGAACCCACGAGTCCTAGCCCTGCATTTTGGACTCTTGACTCTGGCCAGTAAAGCTTTTATACAGAGTCCCTGTTCTGCCTATAAGAGCACTTCCAGGCCCAAATCCTGCCCCCAATGCATAGCACAAGCAGTTAAACCTGCCCTGGAGAACTCCTCTTGGGCTGACTGCTGGGGAGAAGAATTCTTGCTAAGAAGCCTTCGAACCACGGTTGGGTTGCTCCTGTAGCAGAATCATCCACATTACCTGTGACACTCTCTCCCCCGCCCCCTGCCCCACACTCACAAACATGATGATGGGAGGTAATTGGTTCCACGGTGGGCCTGGCTGTCTACACAGGAAGGTAACCAGTGAATATTTTTGTGTTTAATAAAATTATGTTAACAAATGGTCCTTTCCTGATCTCTTTCCTGTAGAGGCTTTAGGAATTTAGGGCACCCACCCCAAAAGCATCTGAGCACCAGGCTTGGCGAGAAATCAGGTTTTTTTGTTTTATAATTTTGATGGATAATATTGTCACGGAGTCACAGGCCATGTGCTCTGGAATTGCTCTGTATGAAGCCAGACAGGACTCTAGTGTAGTGTGCCATGAAGTCTTTTCAGCTAAGGCCTTCCTGGGTCTGGCCTCGGAGCATTTAGCACCCCCATGCACTTCCTGCAGCGGGGTCCACCTGGCTGGGACCCTGGGAGAAGCCAGAGGGACCCTGCACCCCAACTCCGCAGTCAGCCATGACTCTCAGCCAGCATATAAAACAGAAGGTTTATTAGTCAACAGTAACAAAGAGTAGAACAGAGCTTGTTAACACAGAAAGCAGGACCATTCAGTAAAGTCCATCCTGGGGGGAGGGAACGCCAGAGCCTTGAGGTCCTGACCCTCCCCCTTGAGCCCCAAAACAGAAGACTGCTCTGCTTCCAGCAGCCACGCCTGTTACCCCATCTCAGTTCTCTGTCTTACTTCCTGGACAAAGTGTCACCTGGGCCTGGTCTACACTAGGACTTTAATTCGGATTTAGCTGCCTTAATCCGAATTAACCCTTCACCCGTCCACACTACAGAGCCAGTTAATTCGAATTAAAGGGCCCTTTAAATCGATTTCTGTACTCCACCTCGACGAACGGAGTAGAGCCTAAATCGATTTTGTTAATTCGAATTAGGGTTAGTGTGGACGCACACCACCGAATTACTGTATTTAAGTTAATGGGGTAGTGTGGCCGCACACCACCGAATTAATGTGGTTTAAAACCGAATTAAGGTGCTTAGTGTGGCCGCGCACAATCGAATTTATACAACCTGTTTCCCAAATTCGAATTATCTAAATTCGGATTAATCCTGTAGTGTAGACATACCCCTGCTGGTTGCATCTCCCTCCTGGTTCTCCGGTTACAAAGGGGATTGGCCACTGCCTACGTACAGGCAGCTGGAGGAGCCTCACCTATCCTTGAGGATCTCAATTCTTATTCTTATCCCCACCGCCGAGGCATTGGTGTAATATACAGGGAAACTGAGGCACACACCGTATTCATGCACAACATTAAGGTTCATGTATAACATAACAAAGGGAAAGAAGCCGCTTCCTTACAAATATCCATGTTTCTTTTTAAGCATATCTTTTATTTTTACAGATTGAAATTTTCAGTTGCAGGAAAATTATGGGGTGGGGGCGTCAATCAATACTTATGTAATGACAATAGATGATGAGATTTAAGAGCGTTGTACCTATCAAGCCACAAACTGTCAGCATCACATGTCAAACTCGGCAAAGTAAACAGCCTTAAATCAAACCCGAGTAAGTTCTCCAGCAGCATTGTCTTACGTTGCCCAGCTGTAAATGCCGGTCATTATCCATGGAGATATTTTGTCATGAGTTTGTGTGTGGACAGTGAAACTGACATTGACCGACATCTACTGATTAAAAAAATGGAATCCTTCCATGCCTACTCTAACATGTTGGCCTGCCTTTTTAATTGCAGTGCAGACATACCCATAAGGGCTTGAAGCCTGGGACTGGCCAGCCCTACTTACTAAGTAGGCACACATGTGCAGCCAGCAGGTGATTCCCCTATCAGAGCAGCAGGCAGCTGTGGGGAAGCTCAGGAAGGCTGGAGACAGACTCCTACAGGGAAGACTCTGAGGAGCTGGCCATACTAGGAAGGGCTGGGAGTAGCCTACCAAAACAGGAAAGTCTTAGGCCCCGCTTAAGGCTGGAGGGAAGATTTTTGTGTTTAATTCTGAATTTTAAGTTACTCAACCAGACCCTAAGGCATGCTCTTATTGGCTTTGCAAAGTCCTTTTTGAGTTTATTGCGGAACTAGGAGGGGAAACTGCGGCGAGGGACCACTTGCAGTGGCCACAAGGGGGCACCTGGGAGGAGGCCACTCATTGGCACCTAGACACAGTCATTAAGGTTCCCAAAGCGAACTTTGGTTTTAGGCTTTGCTTGTGTAAAGTTGGCAGATGCCAGTTGTCATCAGCTGGGATCAAACCTGGGATCTCTGGAGCTTAATGCATGAACTGCTACTGCATGAGCTAAAAGACATCTCTTTCTTAGTCACTGCTGTAGCTTTCATCAATCTCTAGTGCTAGTCTAGGTGCCACTAGAGGGGGACAGAGTGCCACACCAAGCAGGCCTGGGTTACATTTGCCCTGGGGATCTGCCTTAAATTCAACCATCAGCAGCCCCAGTGCTCACGCCTGCTGGAGGTAAAGAGCTACAAACTGCATTTTGAATGAGGGACTCTTCTCCCTGTTTCAAGCAGCGGTAAGCCCCATCAGTGTGTGTGGCAGCCTTTCTGCTCTGCCCTAGGAGATCGCACTGGCAAAGTGACACCGATAGCTGGCCCTGGATTGGATCCAGAGTAGAATTTAGGGTACGTCTACACAGCCTCCGGGAAGTGTACATCTCAGCTTGTCCTTGCGCTCGCTCTGATCAAATTAGCCCACTGAAAATCGCAGCATGGCCGCAGTGGCACAAGCCGTGGGAGGGGCTAGCTGCCTGAGAACATACCTCGGGCAAGACTGGATTCAGGGGGCTAGCCCGAGTGTGCTAGGGCATGGATGTCTACCGCAGTGTAGACATACCCTTACTGAGTGAATCTAATCGAAATCGGCCTGTCTATCCAACCCAAAGGGCACGATATGTCTGCGGTATCTGGCAGGCTGCTGCCCAAGTCTCTTCAAAAAAAGACTTCCCAAGGAACACAAAACAAGTTACTTTCCTGGCTAACCCAGGCTATGGGGGCCCAGAGTCCTTTCATTCTACACCCATCTCTTTGGTCCAGCGCTAGTCCCAGGACCACATCCTTCCTTCTGCAGCTCTCCTAACTGTGCTGCTGGCTGGCTTTTATAATCACATGGTCCCTTCCCATCAGGGTCTGATAATCAACCTGGGCTGGCTGGGTCAGGGACGCTGGCCTGTTGCAGTATTCATCCATGTAGCGTCGGCCTTACGTAAGAAGTCCTGAAGCTGAGTTCTCCTCCTCCCCCCTTTGGTAATGTAGTGCTGGAGTGAGTTTGGTAGTGATGTATCTCCTGGGCAGGGATGCTGAGCCATTCTTTAGGTCTGTTTCATGGAAAGCCTTTTGCAAATTGCACTTTGCTCAGAAGGTGGTCATCCTCATGCTATGCTGTGAAATGGCATTCCAGAGGTCAAGGAGAAAGTTTGGCTTCCTAAAGGCTTCACCAAGAGCCAGTGGCACTGGAACAATTTTTACAGTGGGGGTGTTGAAAGCCAGTGGTCCCCCCCAAACTTTTAACCTCACCCCCCCTTAGTCCTGTCTGTGCCCCCCCCCTTCAGCTGGGGCCAGGAATGGGACCATGGCTTTGGTGGTGGGGGGACACAGATGGGTAAGGGGGCCAAGGCTGGGACCCTGCATGCGGGGCCAGGACCCTGCGAGCAGAGCCCCGGGCATGGGGCCATCGGCAGCTACTATACACACACCCTCTGGAGTGCAAGCCCAAAATTATATAGTCTTGTACAGTATAGAGAGATCTGTACCATGCAAGCTCATAAAAATGGCCCCCTTCCTCAATGTGGAGGGAGACACGCAGATTCCCCCCCCCCATATGAATGACACAAACTGGGTTTTGAAATAAACAAGAATTAAGTTTATTAAGTACAAAAGGTAAATTTTAAGTGATGATCAGGGATAGCAAACTGAACAAAGCAGATTACCTTAGTAA